TTTTTTTTCCTCTTTTTTTTTTTTTTTTTTGAACGTGTATCTCTTGAACTGCACATTCACAACAAAGGTTTTTTAAGCCCTGGCTAAGCAGATGCAGGGGTGGGGGAAAGCAAAAAGTGACGAGAGGGGAGGGAGGGGGGGGGAGGGGAAAACGGAGAAAAACCCAAAAAAAAAAGAGGGACATACCTCTTTGTCATATTTCGCCTTGTTGGCGCGGCTTCGCTCGAGCAATCCTGCATCCAAAGGACAGGAAAAACCGGAGTAGAAACAAAAAATATATAAAAATGATAATAATAAATATACCGAACATGACAACACACACACACACACGGCCGAGCCTGCACGGCCGGGCACCCGGGCGCAAAAAAAAAAAAAAAAAACTTTTTTTTTTCCCTCTTCTGCGCTTTCCCAGAGGAACCCAAAACCAGGCTCATTTCCTTTTTTGAGAGTTGGCTGTCAAGGGGGGTATACATTGGTTTTAAAGGGGCTAAAGGGGTTTGAAGGGGGGTGCCTTAGTGTGACTCTGTGATTTTCTTTTTTATCTCTGATTCTGTGAGGAATTCTGATGTGACCCTCAGCCAAAGTCGTTCGTATTGCAATTCTACACAACATTTTTTTTTTCTGGAAATTTTTTTTTTGCGCTCGGACTGCCCGGGACCCTGGCCAGGAGTCATGCCCGACCGGGCAGCCGGGCGTATGTCCGGGCATAAATTGGGTGCCCGGCCGCCCGGAAAAACAGCCTATATATATCGTCACAAACAGTCTATAAGATAATAATATATATCGTCAAACAGGTGGGGCTTTCCTTCCTTACTTCTTTTTCTTTTTCTTGTTTTGTCTTTTTCCGCCTTTGCGCTCTGATTTCCAGTGTGACAATATATATTATGGGAACTGTAAGTAGGAAGTAGGAAGGAAAGATAACGACAAAAAGCTTACGAACGGTACCAGCGATGAAACTGCCTCTCATTGTAAACTTTCACCGCTGTTGTGACAAGCTGTTTCATCGGACTTTCACCAATAGAATCGACATCTACCCTAGATAGATACTAAGTCTGCAGATAGCAAGCCAAATCAGTGATAGAAATAGCAGAGTCGGTCAAGACCGACAGATGCTCAACACTTAGCCGCGCTTACGCAGCCAACATACATGTGAAAAACGATCTCGAAAAATCCAAGTACACAACAATGAAGCACATTCCATAGCTCTAGCTATGGCACCTCCGTCATAGTGAGGCGAAGCTGGCACCCACGGGTTCAATCCATATCTATCCATCTCTCTCTCTCTCTCTCTCTCTCTCTCTCTCTCTCTCTCTCTCTCTCTCTCTTTTGCCATATATATCTAAATCTATTCATCTATTCAGCCCATCCATATATGCATATCTAGAGTCATATATCTATTATATAGATATAAGAAAGAGAGAGATGGATGGATATGGATGGAACCTTCGGTTGATTTGGCTTGCTATCTGCAGACTATCTTCTAAGTTTCGATGAAACATCTAAAGCTAGATAGGTAGATAGATATAGACATGCACCCGCCAGAAAGCCGCAATAAATTATAAAATGTACAAGTACTATATACACGTCTAAATACTGTCACCTACGCAGTCTCGCATAAAAAAATTGGCACTGCTTCACGACTGTTTCATCTCATTCCCGCCGAAGTTCTTTTTTTGGGGGGGAGGCTCCGAGTTCTAGCTGGAACCTCTTTTCTTTTTTTTTTTTTCCGTTTGGCCGGGAATCTTGCACCCGATCCAGGAGAACCTTGAAACATGGAGCATAAACATTCAGTAAAAGATTTCATTTCTTTTTTTTCCTCTTTTTTTTCAATTTTTTTCCCTTTTTTTTTTCCCTTTTTTCCTAGGCTACCAGCCGGGCCGCCCGGGTCACACTATTTCCCGGACGGCCCGGCCGTGCAAGGACCAGGGAAGGTCTTCGCAAAAAAACAAAAAAAAAACAGAAAAATCCGAAAAAACGATGTTATGCAGAAAAATAAACTGAACAACTTTTGCCTCAGGGTCCCATCTTTACCAAATTTAAAATAAAAATTAAAAAATATTTTTTCCTTTTTCTTTTTTCTTTTTTTTTCGGCCCGGCCGGGCACTTGCCCCCGGGCCACTCTGGTAGCCCAGCTTTTTTCTTCTTTTTTTTTTTTTTTCGATCTTTTTCTTTTTTTCCCCTTCTTTTCCTTTCTTTTTCTTTTGTTTCTTTTTTTTTTTCTTCTTCTTGTTTTGCGTTTTTTTCCCCTTATTTTTTTTCCTTCAATTTCCTTATCTTTTCTAATAAAACTTCATTGCGATTAAATTATTTTCATTTCTGAACTTCCTTTAATTTGTTTTTCTTTTCCGTCCACGTTTCTACTATGCTTACCAAACACGTCAGCTTTCCGAATGCGCTCTTACTCGATAGCCGTGTGGAAAATCAATCAATCAATCAACAAATCAATCAATCAACCAACCAATCAATCAATCAGTCAATCAGTCAGTCAGTCAATCAATCAATCAATCAATCAGTAAAGTCAATCAATCAGTCAGTGAATATGAATCAATCGATTAACCAATCAAATCAATCAGCCACCTTTCAATCAAGCAAGCAAACAAGCAAGCAAAAAAAAAAAACAAATCAATGTCAATATCTATCAGTCAATCAATCAATCAATCAATGAAACGTATCAGTCACTCAATACCAATCAATCAATCTCGCGCAACCCATCAATCAATCAATCCGCCCATGACTACCGCAGAGTCCTTACGTCTGACAAGCTCCGAATCCGCGGGATCCCGACGATCAGCAGTCGGAAACGACGTAGTGGTCGCGGCAAGCCCAGGTCCCGAGCCTGGCGTTCCCGCTGACCCCTCCTCATCCCTTCTCCCCAACTCCTCCTCCTCCTCCTCCTCCGCCTTCGCCCACATCAACTCACGCTGCGCGCCGAAATCGAAACACCACAGTGCAAGTACCCCGACCACCGCTCCCAATGCGACTGCCCTCCTCCTCCCCCCCCTCCACCTCTCCTCCTTCTCCAACCCCGACCCCGACGACCAAAGTCCACCCATTACCCCGTCCCCACCACCACTGCCTTCACCATCGCCACTAGCTTCCCTGTCATCTCCAAGGGCCGAGCGGTGGCAGAACTGATCGCGATCGGGACCCCATTGATTCTCTCCTTGATTATCGTGTTCATATTGCACGACGTCGGGACGAAAGGCAGCGGCGGTGACACGTGGCAACCTGTGGTCGTTGGCACATGCGTGCCTCCTCAGCAGCCCTCCCACAGTCGGAAACACAGCGACGGTCGCGACCTCCGCTCGGCTCTCATCTTGCCCACGTCTTATCCACCGCCATCGCCGTCGGGACCGGGATCCCGACACAAGAGGCAGATGATCGCCTGCCCGTTCGGAAAGCCGACAGATCAGACGAGCTTCGCAGCTATGCGGGACGTCAATGCGCGGTCTGGATCGCCGCATCGATCCCGGTTTGACCGGCGCAGCCGGTCGGCATCCCGACGACGCTCCGCCCAAACTCGATGCCAATCGTATTCCTGGTCGGCAGACCGATCCCGACTGCGACTGCGCGACCGCGGACGGACACGTAACGCCGCCCATCATTGCGCCGCGAAACGCGACGCCGCGATGGATCTGCTGCGACTGCTGATCCCAATCCCGTTAGCTCGATGGACGAGTGTACTCGCGGAACACCTCAAAACTTGAGATCCATGGACAAGCAGGCATATTTTGTTGAGATGCCCCGGAAGGTTGCAGTTCGTCACCTACCCCGAAAACAGTGGTATCGTGAAATGTCCTCCTCACAGCCTCAAGCTTTCTGAAATAGTTCCTCACCGATTGACAGCAGCATCTCTTGGATATGCCCCTACAGGGCCCTGTCCAATGTCTCCATATGCCCTGGTGCTTCTGGCCGTTGTAGTCTTGGCAGCACATGTTTCAAATGCCCCTACCTGTACCACGCATATTTTCTGTTTGCCATCAACGAATGAGACACTCTCTCTCTCTCTCTCTCTCTCTCTCTCTCTCTCTCTCTCTCTCTCTCTCTCTCTCTCTCTCTCTCTCTCTCTCTCTCACACACACACACACACACACTCTCTCTCTCTCTCTCTCATACACTCACACACACTTCCCCCTTTACACTCTCTCGTACATACGCACACAAGATAACCGCGGAGGGGCATGGACACACCCGAAGGGCACATGCACTACCTGCTGAGACACAGACACACGAGACGTGTGGAGGGGCGTGTCGACCTGACAAGCACGTAAACTTTCCCTTTCCACTCTCCCTCACGACAATAGCAGGGCAGAGGTGTATGTTCACAGCCCGTAGGGGATGCATTTTATACCGCGGGCAGTTTGCTTCAACCTATTGGGTCTACCAGCCCTTCCCTAAACCAAAGCTATAGTGCAAAAGCAGTGCATTTTTCGGGACTCCGAGGGGTTTGGATGGGGCAAACAGAGCAGTTGTTGGGTGGAGGACTGGTCAAAGTGCATTAAGCCACCAGTTCACACAAGCCAAGTTTGACAAAGCTACCTTCCAAGGCTCGCAAGCCCCAAACTGGGCCTTTTTATCGCATTCACTATCGCCTCCAGCTTGAATCCGAAAGCTCTTACCGCCTAAACCAGTGGTAGTTCTACTTTGCTTCAGGTCAACTCGCAGGAGAGCCCTAAGACATAACACTTCACACTCGACAATCTCATAGCTCCTCCGATAAGACAACACATATTTAATTCGATTGTAATATTTTAGTAAAGTAATACAAATTAATTATTAAATATAATTGTGACGGACTCAGTGGGATGGCGGTCCGTCAGGATCAAGCCAAAGGGTTGAGGATGAGGGATATGGAGATGGAGATGGAAGGGAGAGCGTAGCTCCGACACAAACTCAACACATGCGTACTCCAAAATGTGACAATGAAGAATGTCCGACAATACAGACTGCAGTTGGGTTATACCCCCAGCGGATGGACTGGACTGGTACCGACAGTGGTACCAAGCAGGACTGGACTGGACTGAATGAGCACACAACCTATGGGATCAGGCTATGGCCTGGTCTCATAGGCCGAACGGGCAAAATAGCGAAATAGCCCTACTAGTTGTAGGTCACGGCAGCCAGAGGCGCGTTGCACGATCCTGGGACGTGTGGTGGATCGGGAGAGCTATAAACACACTTTCGCAAAAGCAGCAGAACTCTAAAACAATAAAGTTGTGAAATCTAGGATGCGAAGCAAGCTCCATACGGAGTCTATGTGATGCCGCCTAAGTTATATAATGTAGAAAAAACACAAATGTTTGGTATACACAAATACTACACATCCTAACGACCAACAATAAATGAAATATAGTAGGATCCACACAATCCTAAAGTCATAGCTGCAATTGCCTCAATACAGAAAGGAAATGATAACAATATAGCATAAGATAATGTCATGTTGCTGAACCACTAACAGTGGGATGGTCTTAGAGGGGGTGAATGCAGCCTAAGAATCAAAACTTCTAAGGACAGTCACACAAAAAGATGAGATAGGTCATCAAGCTCATGGTGAGGGAATGGTAGCAAAACAAAATCAATAACCGACGGGTAATGCTTGACAAAGGAATGTCGCTATGCAGGGTCGATCATAAAAAGGGAGTTTGAAATAGGGTCAAAATATATTTAATTGAAGGCACGCAATGGCCGACACTAGGGTGATGAGGGAAGTGGATGAGGGAAATACGCATACAATTCACCGACTGGGGAGAGAACCATATAAAGGAGCAGGGAAGCCAAGATAACGCTACGGTCCCAATTCTTATTTGATACCAAGAGAGAGTCCAACTCTGGGAGAACCAACTGTCATGCAACACATACAAAGGAATGCATAAGATACGGTGATGGTGTGAAACAATCACGTCCAAAGTAGTTGGAGTCGATAAAGTCGGTGAAGTCGATAAGGTAGTTGAAGTCGCTCAAGTAGACGATGACATAGATGAAATAGGAGTCGAGTCGATGTTGAAGCAGAGCCGCAAAACACTCACATCCTGAAGAAGTTGATGATGGAGTACATGAAGTTATGAGTCGGTGGGAAGATAAATAGGTAATAAAAGTGTCAGTCGTTAAAACGCCAAGAGCGTCGACAGACGTGCGGAAGCGTGCGTCTACGCACCCGTCAGCTGATGAAGAACAATCTCAAAGAGAGTGGGCTTAATCTCAACAATCTCCTCAAATAGAGGAGGGGGAAGAAAGTCAGTTGATTGAGTAGAAGCAGACGTCTCAGCACGGCGAGCATAAGCATATACACGGACCAACATCCCGACGTGTGCTCCACGTGCTCGAGGGGTTCCCAAGTAGTTTCCTCATCAGGATAGCCCTTCCAACGCACAAGGTACTCGATGCGTGGAGAGGTATTGTCGGTAACTCGGTGAGATACGATGTCGTAAACTACGAACTCCTCATGATCGTCCACCGGGATAGATGGAGGGCACTCGTAAGGGCGTCCGGCGAATTGCTCGGACAGTCTGTGATAAAGAAGCAGCAAGAAGACGTGATAAACATCATGGATACGAGTCTGTCGAAGGTAATTAGGCAAATTCTCAAGCAGCTTCACACGGAAGCTGGCGAGATTGGCGGCAATACCTTTCCTATATGTCGGTCGCGGACCCTTCCCGTCAAACATTTGGAATGTATCTGGCCGACGCTCGTGTTTGGGGTGACCTCAGTGTTAGTCGGCGCGCAATTTCGTTTTGCCTGGGGAAGGTACTGGGGGCTTAAGCCACCAGTTCACACAAGCCGAAGTTTATAAAGCTACCTTCCAAGGTTTGCAAGCCCCAAATTGTGTCTTTTATCGCATAACTATCGACTCCAGCTTGAATCGGAAAGCTCATACTGCCTAAAAGAGTGAAAGTTATACTTTGCTTCAGGTCAACTGGGAAGAGAGCCCTAAAACATAACACTTCACACTCGACAATCTCCTAGCTCCTCCAATAAAACAACACATATTGAATTTGATTGTAATATTTTAGTAAAGTAATACAAATTAATTATTAAATATAATTGTGATGGACTCGCTAGGATGGCGATCCGTCAGGATCAAGTCGAAGGGTTGAGGATGAGGGATATGGAGATGGAGCTGGAAAGAACAACGTAGCTCCGATGCAGATCAAAGAGTTGAGGATGAGGGATATGGAGATGGAGCTGGAAGGGATAACGTAACTCCGATGCAGACTCAACATGCACGTACTCCAAAATTTTTCAATGAATAATGTCCGACAATACAGATTGCAGCTGGGGTATTCCCCCAACTGAGGGATTGAACTGTTATCGACAGTGGTACCAGGCATGACTGGACTGGACTGAATGAGCACACAACTTGTGGGATCAGGCAACGGCCTGGTCTCATAGGCCAAACTGGCCAAATAGCCAAATAGGTCTGGTTGTAGGCCATGTCAGTTAGAGGCGTGTTGCACGATCCTCAGACATGTAGTGGATCAAGAGAGTCATAAACACGCTTCCGCAAAAGTAGCGGAACTCTAAAACAATAAAGTTGAGAAATCTAGGATGCGACGCAAGCGCCATACGGGGTCTATATGATACAGCCTAAGCAGCTGCCACATAATGTAGAAAGAAAAACAAATATTTGGTATACACAAATATTACACATCCTAACGAACAACGAGAAATAAAATGTAGTAGGATACAATTCTAAAATCATAGCGGCAATTGACTCAATACTGAAAGAAAATGATAACTATATAGCATAAGATGATGTCGTGTCGCTAAACCACTAACAATGGGATAGTCTTAGAGCGGGTGAATGCAGTTTGAGAATCGAAACTCCTAAGGGAAGTCACACAGAAAGATGAGATAAATCATCAAGCTCATGATGAGGGAGTGGTAGCAAAACAAAATCTCATCGGATCTCTGCCCTGTCTCGGCCACTTTCAGGGCCAGTAGCTACTTCGACTGTGGTGTATCAATAACCCTAATAGATAGACCATCAAGGCAGGTAATGCTTGACAAAAAAGTGACAACGTGACTACGAGGGGTTGATAATGAAAATGGAGCTTGAAATGGGGTGGAAATATGTCTAACCGAAAGCATGCAGTGACCGACACTAGTGTGATGAGGGAAGTGGATGAGGGAAATATGCATACAACTCACCGACAGCGGTGGTCAGGTAGCCAAATATGGGTGCAGAGAAGCGAAGATAACGCTACGGTCTCAATTCCTGTGCGATACCAAGGGAGAGTCAAACTCAGGGAGAACCAACTAAGTGAGAATCATCATTGCGACATATAGAAAGGAATGCACAAGGTAGGGTGGCGGCGTGAAGCAATCACGTCCAAAGTAGTTGAAGTCGATAAAGTAGGTGAAGTCGATAAGGTAGTTGAAGTTGTCCGAGTGGTCGATGACGTAGATGAAATAGGAGTCGAGTCGATGTTGAAGCAAAGCCGCAAAAACGCTGACATCCTTAAGAAGTTGAAGATGAAGTACATGAAGGTGTGAGTCGGTGGAAAGATAGATAGGTAATAAGAGTGTCAGTCGTTGAGACGCCAAGAGCGTCGATGGACGTGCGGAGGCGTCGGTTTGCGCATCCGTCTGCTGATGAAGAACGACCTCAGAGAGAGCGGGGTCATCCTCAACAATTTCCTCAAATGGAGGAGGGGGAATAACGTCAGT